CTTCTGTCACGGGTTATGGCAAAACCTGATAACGTAGATTCGGAATCTTCTTCCGAAATATATTATGACTGTGTAGATGGAGAAGAAGATGAAGAAGAGGAAAAACCATCATTGATTAGATGGAACTCCGAATTACTTGTTGCCAATTCAGATTCGCCACCACTAACTCCTCGCTGTAATCGAAACGCTGCACTCGTTGTGATGCTTTTTTACGGTGATGTATCTCCAGAGGTTTGTTAAAAAGATTTATTTTAATTTGCTGGATTTATTTCTGTTAGTGCAAAACGAGATGCCGTTGAACACTGACAGGGCCGAATAGTTCTTTTTTAGTTTGCTCTTCAAACTTAAACTTGTAAATTTTTTTGATTTTATTTCAATGTTTCAGATTTCGGTAGATTATAAACCGGATGTAAGTACCTTAAAAATAGTTGCTGAGAAACAAATTGAAACCCATTATCCACAACTAAATTCTCGAGTTCGGTTTTTGCCAGTTTCTTGCGGTAATGAACTGCATTCGAAAATTACACAACTGATCGCTATATCTCCGTCATTTGGTGTCTTTCATCCAGCCCTTGCGTTAATCCTCTCAACTACACAAGTATTCCATGAGGTATAGTCCTCTTATTCCAGCGACTAAATACCTTTAGAACGATAACCGATTGCCTTTTTTCAGGCTGTACAAAATACTATAGCACGTGCAAATAAAGCGTATCAAGATTTTGTTCAGACAGAATCTAGCAAAGATTTTCAAGGTGAGGTATTCCTTGTTGGCGATCATCTTGGTGGTCTGTTGTTGTATGAAGCGTTGAAAAAGTGTCGTTCGCATCTGAGCGTTTCAAGACATTCCAGTTCGCTTTCAGCCAGCTCACATCCGATTCCGGAAGATCGGGAATGCGAGGTTTTAGCTTAATCACTTCTTTTTTTCCTTCTTTGCTTTATTTTTCTGTTATCTTTAGTGTTATTTATCGCTCTCAGTAGTTGGGAAAGTTTCTTGCGAAAAATATACAATATAGGGGATTACCGAAGGTTGAAGAGACGAGAAAATTGTGTTACAAAAATGTTTCACGGTACACCTCCCGATACATATCACCACCGTACTTGTCTAAATGCACTTGATTCAAAATATATTTTAAAACAGCAAAGGTGTTAGTAATTAGAAGCACATTTCTTGTAGTTAACAATTTGAAGGAGGATAAATATACAACCGATTATTGAACCAATATAGCACTATTAAATTCATAAGCCAACTTTGATTTTATTGCATCCGTCAGACAAATTTTTTAAATCAACTTTAGCAGTTTAAAGCGATGGGGATTTTTTTCTGGTTAACTAAGCAACAAATAATTTCCAACAAACAACTGTTCATCCGGTGAAACAATATTTAGTTTTTGGAAAATTAATTGCTGTGAAATTACTGAATCTAGCAACATTTTGGCAACTATGAGCATAAGTTATAAGAGCAGAAAAAGAATAAAAGCAATGAATGGAACACAAAACTAACTTTTTCTTGCACTTCTCATTTTTTTCCTGTTGCTCCTCAATGCCATCCCAGTGATATGGATCAGCACATACTGCGTGTATTTCAGTATTATCACAGTTCATAAGAGTGTTCAGCTAGGAGAATGTCAAATTTGTAAATTCCATAGTTTCCCGTTATTTCATGTCGTGGTTTGCTTTCGTTGTTATTGCTGTTGTTTGCTGTTTGTTTGTTGGTCACTGTTTTTTTGTTTTGTTTTGTTTTGTTTTGTCTTATTACAGGCTTCTTGGTCTGTGTTTGAATTTCCACTTCATGAGCATCCCGATCCTTTGTGCTATAGAAATCTTTCAGCTCCACCTCTATCCTCTTTTCCACAAAGACCATCCTGTGGTTCTGAGAACGTGAGAATTTGTTTGTTTTTATTTTTTCACTTACCACACCAACATTACCAATAATTGCCGAATCCCCGTTCAGAAGCTTTAAATATTATACCTATGTTAAAGGGACCTTCCTTAGTTGTGTCTTTTTAAATTCTGCCGTTTACAAGTGGACTATAAAAATGATGGAGATAACGAAAACCTATCACTCATCTTTTGCGTGTATGTTTTTTTCAGGAGGTCACGTCAAATTTCGATTTCTATCCGAGTACAGTATTTTTCCTTGGGTGTCCCTTAGCGCTTGTGCTTGAACAAAAAAGAGTTTCTGGATTTGGTTGGTTTTGCAAATGAACAGTTTTTATTGCACAGCTTTTAGCATGTTCATGGTATACCGAACAAATCGACAATTTGTTTACGTATTGACAAAGCAAATTTGCAGAAATTGAAAAATTGGACTGTGGACAAATTTTCAATCTATATTATGCGTTAGACCCGTGTAGTGCAAGGCTGGAGCCATTGATAAATGGCAGACTGGCTCTTTTACCACCAATGAACGTCCCACGATATCAACGTTTTCCACTTGGTGACGGTCAACACCTACAGTTTGAAAAGTGGGCTTTTTTTCATTTATTTCATTTGGATTTTCATTTACTACGTACGCCCGGTAAAACTTGGATTTTTTGATAGTCCTGAATCATCGTTAAATTGGTAATTTAATTTCACTAAAGCTCCTTTTGCAGTGCAACAGATTTGCAATTAATATGGGGAAATAAACGCATCGATCATGCATTGCATTGTCCGCATGGTATGGTAGCCTTACCGTCAACAGCATTACCAAACGTGCTACACGCGTCCTATTGGGAAAGTGAAGACGTTGCTGCTTTTATTTTGAGGTTATCTGGTTGTTTTTAACTGTTTTCAGTTTGTGTGAAGCAAATGCCGGAAAATTCCTCATTCTTCCCTTTTCTTATAGGCAGTTTATTCGGTCCGAAGATATACCTCATTTGTCGAACTTAGCTAATATGTCTACCATACCATCAGAAATTGAAATGCCCCCAATGTCATGGTTGCGAAAAAGGACAAAGTTTAAGGTGGTTCCCTGTGCTAATGAGGAGAGTCTTGACACTCAGTATCAATGTTTAACTTTAATGCAAAGTTTCGTGACTTTGTTAGGTGAAAAACTTGGCACCAAATCATCGTGGAAACGACGTCATATTGGTGGAAGGTAGCGAACAGCAGTTTTCTGCGCGATTCTGTTACGGACCAATGGATCTTGTAACACTTTCTCGAGAAAATGTTTCAGCTTTTGTGTGTCCCGTTGGTAGCGATTGGCAGTTAATAGCAACAGAACTTACTGATTCTCATGGACGGGTTACATTTACGGTAAGTTTAAGTCTGTCCTTTTACTTTTTTTTTTTTTTTTTTTTTTTTTTTTTT